TTTTTTTTCATTTTCCTTTTCGGCAGGGGACTACAATGGAGAGAGTCGAGGTCAACCGACCGGCAAATTTGACATGGAAATCCCCCGACAAATTTCACGGGGACCATGCAATGCACCTCTTCTCGACTGCAGCATCATCAGGATTCGCTACTGGTTCAAGTTTCTTCAACTCTTCTTCGTCTGGTGCCATCAATCACTCGAGCTTCCAAAACCACTATCCTTTTGCCAATTTGACTAACAGTGGACCTCATCAAAGCTGGAGGCCGTGAGTGAACGAAACAGCAACTTCTCCGAACAGCCTTGTTTGGACTTGTCATCACGAAGAAACAAAAATTTCTAGGACTCGTTTCTAAAAACCGAAATAATTTTTTCCCCAATTCATACATGCATTTGTTGGAATATTAATCTTTTATTTTCCCAAAGTTGGCACAAATTTGCGACTGGTTTGTCACGGGCTTTTGCAATGATCTGTTAATGATTCGGTTAATCGAGGATTGAATAATTCTTACACAGAGTACACCACATTTAGCTTCCCTTTAAAGTGAGAAATCTCTCTGTGGTCGTCTCCTCTATGTAACCAATACTCATCTGTTTGATGTACTGCATTAGCCGACTCTATATGTTTAGTTGTTTACTCGAAAAATGTTACTGTTTTAAGGATCCTAAGACTGGTAATGTTATTTCCTTCATCATAAACATTGGTCCATTGAAACACTGCAGATTGATATTTTCACCGCAAAGGTGTACCTATCTTGACTTAATATGTTACCTGTTGCAAGCACACAGTAACTGATATGTGCTATCACTCTTCATAAAGAAAAGTGATGAAATGCACAATCAGAAGTTGGAATGGACGAGCGTTGTCTGTTTGGTCAAATGGACAAATGCAAATTCAGACTATTTTCATAATCGAGGTATCGAGACAGGATGTTTTAAGAGTGCGTTTGAGCCGGTTCGGTTCAATCTCGACTCGAATACGAACATAATTTCGATACAAAAAAAAAAAAAAAAAAATTCATACGACAAAAAGACTGTTCTTTTTTTCTTTTACATAAAGATTGCAACCTAATTTCTCTTTAGTTGGAACACTATATACTGTTCTACTTTTTTAACATCCTACCACTTTAGAGTGGTCCTTACCTTCAACAATTTAGTGTGGTCCAATGGAGCCGTGACACATCCAATGGGCACGAGTTTTTTTTTTTTTTTTTTTTCGATTTACCAAACGTTAATTTGCTTTACTTTGATCAAAGCAAGTGACACGGACAACTCATGCAGGTTGAAGATTTTTCCGTTAGGATTTGTAACTGTTAGATTATCATGTAATCATCGTGGATATATAGTTGATCTAACAGTTACAAATCATGATGAAAAGGTTCCGTAACGGTACCATAAAATCTCCCCAAAATTTAACTCAATTTTAACTCAACATAACTATTTTCAATATTATTGATATAATTAAATAATATCAATCAGTCATTCTTATACATCATATCGACTTTAATTCGTTGTTCATCCATCTATATAATTTTAATTAATCATCATTTCCCATAATCTATCTGCTACTTCTTACATCGAATTAAATTTAATTATCTTATTTTTAATATTATTTAATACAAACTCAAAATCTTACTAACAACTAATCATACTACTTTATTTTTCTAAAATTAACTTTGATTAACAAAAAAACTTATTTTGAGCGGATATATTTGTATCCAAGCACGCCCTCAGCTTCTTTTAGGCTGGCGAGGGTCATGTTTGGTTCGCCCTAGTGTGTGTGAATATGTGTGATCTAATGGTTAAAATTATGTAAAGCAGTGCCCACCGTTTAATTCGAACTTCCTGTAGCGGCAAGTCATTTTTAGAATTTTTTACCATAAAATTATAAAAATGTTAAGTTGTGGAAAAAAAAAAATACACAAACAAATGAGAGTGGACCATAATAAAAAGCCCGTATTCAATGAATACGTTTTACAATTAAAATAATTGTAAAACGTATTCATTAAATACGTTTTCTTTTGAAAAAAATTCTGAAAAAACGTATTCAAGGAATACATTTTCTATACAATTTGTACAGAAAACGTATTCCTTGAATACGTGCTTTTCATTTTTTTCCACTCCCTTTTTTTTCTTTTTTTTTTGGTCCACATGTTTTTTTATTTTTTTTTATTGGTAAATTGCTCGTCATTTTTAAGTTGTAAGTTTGGTTTGAAAACTCCTTAATTTTGTAACAACTAAATTATGGTTAGTAGTTATTAATTAATAATTTATTTATAAAGATAAAGTAAATTCTGAAAATGACTATAATTTTGTTACCAATTCAACTTGTGTACAAGTTTTTTTTTTTCTTTTAAAGCATATTAAATCCTTTTATTTTGCTTATGTCAATAAAAAATATAAAAACCCATGATATATATGTATATATAAAATAATAAAATTATATGTATATATATATATATATTGCGCACAGCAAATTATGAAGTTAAAATATTTATAAAATATATCTACAATATTATTACGAAATTTGATTTAATTAATCGACTTGTATGAAATGTTATCAAATTCAAACAATATGATCCCTTTTAAAATATTTCTATAAGTTGAAATTAAAAGACGTATATAATATTTGCTAATTTAACAAATATTTATTCCAATTAACATATTTGTTATGCATGTATTTTTAATCTATGGTTAATTTATTATGTATTTTTCAATTGAATATAAGATAAAAATAGGTCTAATTTGTAAAATTATTAAATATGTAGGTAGTATTGAAAAATTGTAAAAGTTGATATGAAAGAGAATATTTTGGAATATTCTTTTGGATTTGAAAATGAGTTTTTCGGTTAGAGATGAATTACTGCAAAATATGACAGTTACTATAAAATGAGTTTGAGAATGAGTTTTTCGGTTGGAGATGGCCTTAACAAGTTTAATGTGCTTTAAACATTGGCGGAAATTACAAAATATCCATATGTTATTGTAAGGAATCAACTAATAAAGAATAGCTTAAAGTTATTTACGTCAACAAATCAATTGAACAATATCATAAAAGTTATTTATGTTAACAAAAAAGTAAAAAACCAGATGGACACTATGAAAATATTTCCTAAAGCATATTTGGATCCTTC